CTCCAGAAAACCTCTCACCTCCCAACCCCCTCCCTCCATTCCCAATTAGCAGAAAATAAGCCTGGTGGAGGGACCCCCCGCTTTGGGTAGCCCATACTTTTCCCCGATCACTCAATTCTTCCATGAGAACGCCCGGTCAGATGCTGCAGTGAAATGAAAACGACAGGACAAACAAACTCACACCAGAAACTGAAGATTAAACTGGCAAAAAAACCCCAAGACCGTCTCCTACTAGCAAGCCACTGGTAATTTGGGGGTTTACTGTCCAGTTTAATCTTCAGTTTCAGGTTGCCCATTTTGTAGCAACGGAGGTGTCAGAAAAAACATTTCTGCACCTGTTGCAAAGTCTCAGCTGCGGCTGGAGACAGACGCAGACAAACGCATATAGAATGTCAGCCCAGTTTTAGCCTATGTGCCGTTGAAGCCAGCGCATGTACACATAAAGTATCATCCAAGTTTAGTACGTCCTGATAAATTACACAGCATCACATAGGGACACAAGGAGATGTCAAAGTTGGAGGACTCCTAAGAGGTCATCCGGCAAAGCCTCCCATCCTACTCGTCACCTCCTGGCCGAGAGACCAAAGTTCGGGCAGCTCCAGTGACAAGGGACTCCTTGGCTTTCAGAGGCAGCTGGTGTCTGTGACCAGCTTCTTTTCACGAGAGGTCTTTTCTAAAACAAGGGCAATCCATCGTCCTGGTACCTGCTAACCACTGGGGGCTACTTCCTTCTTCAGAACAAGGGATCTCCTAGGGAACCCGGGCCCCACCCCCTACCCTAGGGGGACTGAAACTTCTAGCACTATAGTTTCCGAGCCAGAACCCTGGCTGCGACGGCTGCTGCCTCTGATGGATTGTGTCCTGAGCTCCGTTTCCCCGGTGGGGCTGGGGGGTGTCGGTGGGGGCGGCCCCGCCTCTACGGCCCCACTCCTCCGGGCCCACCCAGCGAGCGCGAAGCTCCTGGGAACTGCGGCCTCTGCGGGCCCACTGCGGTGCCGTGAGTCGGCTTGCCAAAAGCCACCCGATGCAGCAGGTAAGCAGGCAGTCAGAGAGGTGCACTGGCTTTCTGAGAAGCAGCAGTCTAGCTAAGGCAGGAATGGGTTCTAACTTAATAATCTGCTCATCACACGCAGTAAGAGACACCCTGACTTATTCAAAGACACCGTGGGCGGTGCAGAGGATGAATAAGCATGATTCACTGCCACTCTGGCACCCGGGGCACGAAGAATAATAAAATCCAAAGAATTGTAGCCGCCTGAGTAGTAAATTAAGAGATCCGGGGCTCAGCTAGACTCTAGACATCAATGTTACCATGGCGATAAAGGGCCCCAGCGTTCAGCAGTTATTATAGAACAGGCGTCTAATAGGCTAGTCTATGTCACAGCCAAAGCCCAAGGGGCTAGCAAAGAAGACCAATTAGCATATCCATTCATTAGGGGCCTCTGCACACTTCTTCTCTTAATTCCAATTAGTTGTTTGTTTGAACCAACGTCTCTTGCCTGCATTATGCTCATTAGTGCCTTTTAGCCACTGGAAATAGGCTTGAATCTCCACAAGGACCTCACAGTTTCCCAAGCCTTCATTTCCACCCCCAGGGGTCTAGGCTTATACAGTCACAAACTCATGGCCCTCAGTCCCTCGAAATGAAAGCATCTCTCACTGTACAACTGTACTCGACAGATGGAAACTCTGCTCAGGAATGTGATGCGCTAAGGGTTCTTCCTGGAACCCAGCGAAGTAGGGATCTGGGGCCATTATCTGGACCATTCAGGTCAAGGAAACCCTCTGGCCTTAGCCAGTGAGCCTGCTGGCTACGCCTGCTGGCCACTGCTCAGAGGCTAGCTGTGCGGGAGGGGGAGCTTCGGGCACCAGGGACCATACTGGCATCAGCAAAGTCGGGCAGAAGCTGTTCCAGCTTGAAGGACTGCCCTTCAAGGTCCAACCCAAACCCCGCCTATTCCGGGAAGCCTTCCCTGATCTCTGCAATCGCAAATAAGATCCACGCCCCCCCCCCCCCCGCCGCTTCATGCACTTTGAAGATGACACCCTATGCTGGGCAGTATTCACGGGCAGTCTCAGGCCCTAGGCTGGCCTGGACCTTCCGCACCCATGACTTCAGAGTCCACAGGTCACTAATGCTGGAAGGGTCTGGGGTTCTAGAGAGTCCCCAGTGCTACCCAGCTGAATCCAGTGGCAAAGACCTCTTAAGCCCCACTGCACATGACCTCCCAGAGAAGATTTAGCAAATCCCTAGGTAAGGAAAGCACACAACTGCTCTTTGGTAGCTCCATAACACACTCTCCCCTCCCCCCACCCTACACACACACACACACACACACACACACACACACACACACACACAATTGCGGAAGTGACCCATAAGAACAGATGTCAGAAACTAGCCCCTCCCGTGGTGAAGGTGAAGATTCTCTGGAGAATGCTCTGGGAACAGGAGGACCCAGTCCATAGGTTTCGGTTCCCCATCACCCACCCAGCAACCATGCGGTTTGACCAGAGCAGGCATCCAGGAGACGAGGCTTCTAGAAGCAGCTGCTAATATCTGCGCCCAAGGACTGGGCATATACAGTTTGAGAGACTGGAGTCATTTGCCATTCAGTCTGCTGTCAAAGCCTCTCCTCGCCACTCTTGCCTCCGGAGCCACCGTTCATTTGCAGTTCCCCTGGTCCCTTCCAGGTCCAGCCTGCTCTGTGCTGTTCAGCAGCTTGCTTCTCACCATATATACCCCCCCCAAAATTGGCAGGAAAGGTCTCTTCTGTAGCTAGAGTCTTCTGAGTGTGAACTCACACAGATTTCTGTCTTTGAGGTCCTATGGGATTTTGTTATTTTACCCCACCCAACAGCTGGCATTCCAGAAGACAGCCTGATCTATAGTCAAAATACACGGCAAATATATTAAGTGTACAGCAAACCCCAGGTTACCCAGAAGGCTTGGGTGTGGGAGACTCTGGAGAATGGAATATTTTGTTACCTGAGGTCACATTGCTCCGAATCTCCTTTTGTCTTCCTGCTTTTGGGGTTTTTTCCCCAGCTTTATGGAGACGTCTTGACATATAACATTGTGTAAGTGTGGGTGTACGAGGTGATTTGACTCACTTGTATGTTGCAAAATGATGATCACCATAGCATTAGCTAATAAAACCTTCACCGCGTCACTTAAGTGCTGTTTCTTTTTTAGGGGGAGGACACTAAAAATCGACTGTCTTAGCAACTTTCAAGTAATAATACAGTCTTATCAACTATACTCAGCACGCTGTACACTAGATCCCCAGAACTTACTCACCTTCGAACTGGAAGTTTGCACCCTTTGACCACCATCTTCCCAGTCTCACCCCCCCAGACCCGCTGACCACCACCATTCTACTCTATACCTCCATGTTGTCGCTAACGGCAGGATTTCCTTCTTTCTCATGGCGAAATGATATGCCTGTGTATGTGCGTGTGTATCACTCTTTCCTTATCCATTCATCCACTAATGGACACTTACGTAGCTTCCGTACCTTGCCTATTATGAATAATGCTGCCCCCCACCCACTCTTGGTTTTTGAAATCTTGCTTACATGACTGTGCTCTTTTCTGCTTTAGGAAGACAAGACCAGTTAACCTACCCTTTGGTTTTTGAGGCTTGCCAAGGGCTTCAAGATTCTTATATTTAACATTGGGAGTCACACAAAAGGCTTGATTGGAGAAAGTGTGAGAGAGCCCAGTATAGACTGAGATCAGGTTAACCCCTGGAATGTATTTTGTTTTTATTAAAGTCCAGAAAGTGGAATGAGTGTCTCTTTTTTTGTCAGTGGCCTCTTTCTCATCAAATAAGGGTATGGCGGGGGGAGGGACTCTGTTAAGGAAGAGTTCTAATTAGTAGTGTTCTAGTAAATGGAGTCTTTATTTTAAATTAAGCACTATGGAAGCTGTCTTCATCAGAATGGCCTAGGCTTGGGATTATGAATAAGTCAATCTATCTAAGCTATTATGCTGGCTTTCTTGGTTATGTATCTGCCCAGAATCTCATTATCTGCAACGTTCTCAGCCACCTGGGTATAATGGGTTGCGGCGGGGTGGGGGTGATTTTGAAGGAAGAATCACAAATTCCACCCAAACCTTTTAGCCACCCAGGCTCTGGTGGGGTGGACTGGACAGACCAAAAATGCTATTCAGTGTTTTGGCTCTTTCTACTAATTTTTCTTTTGTTGGTTCCCACATTGGCTTCAGGAGTTATATATGTCTGGGAAACTGACACGGCAAAGTTCTGGCCTGTTCCCTGCCCTGATGCTAAGGGATAAATATAGATCTCAACCACTACAGAAATGTGGCCAGGATTCCAAGGGCTGTGTGCGTGAGGGGCAGCAACTGATGGGACCATTGTGACATGTGGGCTAGAAAAAGGCTTCTTTATGTCCAAGACCCTCGTTGGGGAGGGGAGGAGTAAAGCAGGAATCTGGCTTCTAAAATCAGAATGCATAATCCACATTTCAAGGGGCTCATGGGTTGACACAAATAAGGAATATTGTAGGTGGCTTGGTGTGGGGGGGCAGAGCAAAGGGAATCTTTCCTGACACCCTAGATCCTTTTGCATGAGATCAGTCTTATGAAAAAAGAAAAGTTATTCTTGGCCATGTCCCCTCACCCCTAACTCCCACCCACGCCCCACCTCCTGCACACACTGCTACTCAGCTCTCCGTTGAGAAGAACACGACTTAAGGTTTCCATTGGGCCCATAGTAGCTCGGGTGCTAGAGAAGGGCAGAGGGAGGGTAGAGAGACGTGAGGTGAGGGGGGCGGTGAGTCGCTCCTCCTCGTGACCCAGAATATCTCCCCCCTCCCTGTGATGATGAGCTTGCTTTTCCATAAGGGCTTTCCTTTGATTCAGGGAATGGGCCAACCAATGAGAGAGGGGCATGTTAGATTATTTTGGGGAAGGGCTCATGCCAAGAGGGTTCACTTTTACTAGGCGCCAAGTGTCCCCAGCAGCCAGTGTCTCCTGTACCAGTGGGAACTCCAGAACTCTCACCCCCTTGCCTGCCTCTGCCTCGTCTTTGCCCACTGAACAGCCATGAGAAGGCAGCTCCGGTCCAGAAGGGCTCCGGCCTCTCCTTACGGTTATCGCTCCAGACTTGTGAGTCCCGGGGAGCAGAATGTTTTGCCATCCCTTTTGAGGGGGGTGGGCTGGGGGTGGCGTAGATCGTGGCTTACGGCTGCTTCTCCTCAGCATGGGCAGGAACAGCGGGGTTTAAGGAAGCCTATAATTTCAAGATGGAGCAGTGACTCCTGGCACCCCATTGTGCCCTAAACTGCTGCATTGAAGGAAGAAGTCCCTCTTCCTGGGGGAAGAAAAGACAAGGGAAGGGGGGACCTTCTAAAATTGGAGGGGGGGGCGTCTGGAATTTAAACAAATAGAACTTTTGGAGTTTGGGAGTAGAGGTTTTGGTCCGTTAGCAGGAAATTTTAGCCAGGAGAGAGAGGAAGGGGAAGGGGAAGAGGAAGCGAAACACACTGCCCACCCAGCTGCCTCAGTCCCCAGGGGTGGGAGCGTCTTAGGAACCCAGCTGCTCTTTTTCTAAAGCAGAAATTCCAAACTCTCTTGCTAAAATCAGAGAACCGTAGATAGAAGCCGGGAGTAATCTTAGACATCATCTCTCCAGAACCCCTCATTATGTAAAGGAGGCTGCTGGGGCTCCGAGCACAGGAGTGACTTGCAAGTTTCCTCACTTCTAATCTCGGGCTCTATTAGACTTGCTGTAGACGACTCCCTAGCCCTCTGTCTCTCCCCCACCTGCCGCCAGCCCGCCTGCCACCTCACCCTGCCCAGCACACACACACACACACACACACACACACACACACACACACGGGCACACACATGACTCTCTGCTGTCGCTGTTTATCTCCAGGGTGCACCACAGAGGTCTTTGAACCCACCGTATCCTTGCATTTACTTTGCTCGAAATCGTTAATATATGCCACACACAGTACTTTTTTTCCGGGGGGGAGGGTTGTGGGGAGTGTAATCTGAAATCTCCGCCAGAGAGGGCTGTGATCTGAGCCCCTGGAGGAAACAAAGCTTAAATCCACTTTTCTTTGGAAATGGCCGCTTATATAACCAAGGAGTCAACGGAGGAAAACACGAATCCTTCCAACCCGGTATCAACCTACAGAGGGCTTCCCTTCTCAGCCATACCACGTAGAATCTTTCTTTTCACATTTCCAGAGTCCCTCCCAGCTTTCGGAGCAGCCACAGCCTGTAGGGCACCTACAACTCTTCCTTCCTTGGCTTTTTCTCTATGTACTGTTGCTAAAGCGTTATGTATCCATTCGATTAGTTGTCAAGCGCATCCGAGGGTCTGCTCTTTATAGGAAATGCTTGATTTTAAATGCACCGGGGGATCTTGCCCTGTAGGGGGACTACTTGATCAAATCTAAAAAGAAACTATTTAATGCAGTAGTTAATCGTATGCCGATTTCTCTTTGAAATTAACCAACTATTCAAATGTTTACAGGGTGTTACTCAATGCAGGGCACAAATTTATCCTTTGGGTCACACTGTTTGTTTATATGTTTATATGTTTGTATATTTAGAGTGCTCAAAATGGAGCCACCCTCTACCCTTCAGACTCTCCCCTTTTAGGGCAACACCATGGCCCGGGCACACACCCACTACTATAGTCCAGCACGTTCACACATGCTGCCACAGGAGGGCACGGCCACTTCAGGCAGCGGGCAAACACAGACCCTCTCATTCCCAGAGTCCTGACAGGATTCTGTTAAATAATTAGTTGCCCAAAAGTGCCTCCCTTGCGTAATGCGAGGTTCTCCTAACACAGGGAAGCAGAGGAGAGCAAAAAGGATATTTGAGGTTCCTGAAACTCAGGCAGTGTGAGAGCCGTGGGGAAATTAGCTCGGAGAAGGTTAATTCTTCCCGGGAGGGTAAAGCTTTAATGACAAGCCATCTTTAATGGGATTATCATGAAAGCTCATATCTACAAATAAGATCAGGCCAAGGCCCAGGCCAGCTGTCTCCTCTGTGGAGCAGAAGTGGACAGCAGGCCCTCGCACAAGAGGGAGAGAAAAGGAAGCTGTCCAGAAAATATAAAGGGGACACTAAATCCCCCCGCAGTGAACCGTTCCACCTAAATTCTCTGAGATTCCCGGTTGCGGTGCATTCTTCCCAGGCCATGAGGACTACACACCAGTCCACAAGGCTGCTGGGGTTAGGGTGATGAACTCTGGGAGAGCAATTTCTTCAGAGTCTGGCTCAGGTTTTAAGCCCAGTAGTTATCACTGGCACTCGTTCAGTCCCCACTGGCTCCTGAGCCGTGGGCCCCACACGGGTGGAGGGACACCAAGGAGTCGGAAAAAATACCCACTCTGCCCCTTGGGTGCTCAGAATGTAGTTGGGGAGGTCAAATGCGTACACACATTCGCACACGAGGGAAAGAGATTTAAGAGCATTTATTAGTCCATTCAACACTGAGTGGATGGGGGCTCTCCTCCTGAGCCTTGCATCATGAGCCCGCGTCAGAGTCAGAAATCCTTGATTATGAGCACCTACAATCCCTTGGGAACACAGACTCTGACCCCCCACTGGTGGCTCCAATCTGTTAGTAACGTCTAGGTGCTTGAGCTCAGGGTGCGAGGGGAGAAACGTCACTGCCCCAGGTAACGGGAAACACAGGTTCTGTCGACTTGATCACGAACTCTCTGTGTGGCTGCAGCTGCGTCCTGCCCCCTCTCTGGGCTTCCGATGGACAAGGGAATCTTCAGGGTCCCTGTCAGTTCTAATGTGGTGTGTGATAGAACGCTCTATAGTGGAACCGACTCGAGAGACGTTCAGGATTGCTTCTGATCCACAGCCGGATGGCACGGGGCAGACTGAACGCTGAGAGCAGAGTCTTGTCATTCTGGGTCATTTTTACTGATTCTGAACAATCCAATTTTCTGAGCCCCGCCCCCCCGCCCCCCACTAATGGCAGCATTTTTAGCTGAGTGTCCTCTAAATGGCCTTTGAGGAATCAGGCAGGGAGGGGGCAGCACGGAGCCCCTGGTCTCTATCATTTGACACATCCAACCCCAGCAGGTGCACAGGCCCCGCCACCCTTCAGATTTGGACAGCAGAGAGAAGGGAGGGTGGCCTCATTTTCTGCCTCTGCAGGGAGCCTTGGCAGACCCCCAAAGAGCAAAGATCCAACTCTCCTGCCTGTGGCCGGGAGGCATTCGAAATCCCGTTGGTGAAGTCTGGGTTTCTCTTTTTTTGGTTTAATTTTCTTAGAACCACTCAGAGAAGATTACAGTTTCGGATCTCAATGACTGCAATCAGTCAATCAACAGATATGTGCTGAGCACTCACGACGTGCCCAGATTCTCGCCTAGGGTATGGGGTTGGGGGGGAGCAGGGAGACGAGGGAAGTAGCAGTTGAGGTTCCAGACCTCAGGGAGTCTGTTCGACCAGCTGAAGGCAGGAAGAGGTGCCAGCTCACGCAGCAGTCAGAGAAGCAGCAAACAGACCCCTGGGTTTTGTTTCTGCTCCGGTGGGAGTCTAAGTTTTGAGGAGGGGTCCAGCCGCTGGCCTCGCCCTGCTGTCTGTCAGAGGCTACTTTCAGGTACAATGCGGGATGGTCAAGTTGAGCGCCCGCCAGCGTGTGGGACCGACAATAAAGCTGACCTGGCCTTAGAATTTGCCATGGTGGACTCAAGTGTCTAAAATGACTCCGTCCTTGGTGTCCAGCTCGGCTCCGCCCTGACAGGCCAAAGTGAGGCCAAGGCCCCAGGACAGAGGAGAGACAGAAGCAGAGCCCTGAGGGGAAGAGCCCAAGGGCCCGCAGCTGAGACTAGAACTTACACCTCTGTGGAAAGAATATTGGGTCAAAATGGGTCAGAGAAAGGATATTTCCTCCAAAAGAACAGAGAGAGGGAACAGGTGCTTCTCGTAACCACGGGTGTGTGTCCGGAGAGGCTTCTCCAAATACTGAATCGTCTTCCATTCCTTTTGGCTGGTGGGATGCGCCCTGGGGAATTTTTTTTTTTTTTCAAAAAGGGGACTGTGTTTTGTCACCGTTCCAGGATGATCAGGATGAAGTGAACCAGAACTACTTAGCAGATGAAGAGGAAGAAGCTGAAGAAGAAGCTCGGGTGATGGTGGTACCCGATCTGGAGGAGGAGGAGGAGGAAGAAGAGGAGGAGGAAGAAGAGGAGGAGGAAGAAGAGGAGGAGGAGGAAGAGGAGGCGAAGGCGGAGGAAAAGGGTCAGGGTCAGCCAGCAGGCAATGCCTGGTGGCAGAGATGGCAGATCGTGAACGAATACCTGTGGGATCCGGAGAAAAGGATGTCTCTGGCCCGAACAGGTCAGAGTTGGAGTAAGTCCCAGTTGTCCCAATGCCCCAGTCGGGTGTCCTTTGCTTTTGGCTTGGTGTCAAGGACCCCTTTACCATACGTTGGATGGGCTTGTCTGCACACTTCTCTCAGATCTCATGTGAAGGGCTCGATGCCTAGGGAAATGCCTGCACTGAGGGCAGATCCCGTTGGAAGAAACCAAGTAGGAACACATCGGATGGTGGAGCTGAAAGCCGATGGGCTCAACTTCATTTGCGATGCAAAGGGTCCGTAAGAATGAGTGGGAAAAGCACAGATTTTGTTTGTTTGTTTAAGTCCCAGCCCCATCGCTTTCTATCTGTGTGACCTCGGGCTCATCCTTTACCCTCTGTGAGCCTTAGTTTTCCTCACCTGCCAAATGAGGGAAACAATCCCTACCTTGTCTCTCCCACAGGATCAGCCTGAGGCTCATTTTGGATGCTTCCGTTGTAAACTTGAAAGCACGGTTGCCTCTTGAACAGCACAGGTCTGAAGGGCACTGCTGCACGCGGGTGTTGCGTGTTTTCCCCACAAACACAGCGTAGTGCTCTAAATGTATTTCCTCTCGCACAAGGCCACCTCTTCCGTGGCTTACTTTATGGTAAGCGGACAGTACATCCCACATGGAATGTACCAAACACGCGTGAATTGGCACTTTCTGTCACTGGGAAGACTTCTTTCTGGTCAATGGTAGGCTGTTAGGAGTCACGTCGTGGGGAGTCTAGAGTTAGATACAGATTTCTGACAGCACGGGGGTCGGCGCCCCTCAATCCCACACTGTTCAAGGGTCAACGGTACTATGCAGGAGACTGCTGCAGGGCTGTGGGACCGCAGTCCCTGCTAACTTGACCGTGGGTTGATAAAATCTCATCGTTGCACCCAGGAATGTCAGAAAAGGAAAGCCAGGAGGTGTGCCCTCGGAGGCACGCCCTCAGCCCCAGCTTGCAGATGTTTCAGGCTCCCGGGGGGGCACACAGAGGAATTCTGTTTAAAGAGGTCATTTCTGGAGATTACGGCAGAGGCCCCATCGTGCTCGATCGATGGCAGAATGGCATCCCTTAGCCAGCATTTCGGCTTCACGACCTCTCCAGCACGAATCTCCCAGGGTCCTACTCACCTCTTGAACTATTCACGCTGGGCCTTCTCCTTAAGAGATTTAGCCTGTGATAAAATTCACACTTGCCACACTCTCCACACGGCTAGAAAAAGAGCAGCTGCCGGCTTGGCACTCAGTTAACCCACAGCAGAGCAAAATAGATGACTGTACGGGTGAAATCAGAGTCCCCCAGTGTCCCGGGTCTCGGTTGCTAAAGTTGACCATCATGCCTGCTAAAGGCCCTTTTGGCTGAGAACTCTCTCCCCCCCACCCACCCACCCCCAGTTTAGGTTTCTAATTCAGCTCCGTCAGGGTGAAAGGGCCAGCCCTCCTTCCTGGAATTAGGAATAGCAGGTGTGGGGCTCTGAGCACCGCCCACCTCCCTTCACCCTTCCTTAGCTCCCAGCCCCACCCCTGCCGATCCCTCAAACCCTCAACTGGAACAAATGTACCATTCAAGGAACATTCCAACGTTCTGGAAGCTGCAGACAAATGCCGGACGCTCAGTGGGGCTCCAAAGGGGGCACAGCTGTTTCTCCCTTGCCTAAAGAAGACTGGGAACACAGGCCTTGTGAAATGCAAGCGCGCTTCTGGGAGAGGGAGCTGTACTTTAACCCCTAAACGGCCAGCGCCTGGAACTTTACCGGAGGAGCTGAGGCAAGTTGGTCCCATGGAGAATAATCCATGGGCCAAAAAGAGTGATGGGGGAGAAATGTTCAGGTGCCCAGGGAGGACACGGCAGTGGGGACATCCCATGGTAGGCCAGATCTGGGCCTTTGATGGCAGGTGTGACGAGGGTCCAGCAACTCGGGCTCTGCTCTTGGGCGTTGCCTGGGCAGGCGGCGCATGGTGATGGTAATGCCTAGGCCACCAAGCACATGTTTTGCTGCCCTCTTGCTTGAAAACTAGGTGCCCACTTGAGCAGTTACTAACCCAATCTCAGCCTGAACATCGACATGACCAACATATTCGCCCAGCCTATGGTTATAGTCTGGGTCTTTCCTTTGGTAGCGGGGCAACTTCTATTTTTAGGAACTATCTGTTATTTTATTGGATACTGACAAGAACCAAATGAGGTAGTAATATTATTATCCCCATTTTACAGATGCAGAAACTGAGGCTTAGAGAGGGTAAGTAACTTATCTAAAGTCACACAGTTATGAAGCGGCAGCACTGGGATTCAAGCCCAGGTCAGATGAACACTGGGGTTCACCCTCCTGCTGGAACACCACATTGTCCTCACGAAGTATAGTAATGAGCAAGGCCCTGATGGGTACGGTCTCAGGACCTGATGGGATGTTCTGGTGGGAGGAATAAAGAATCTAGATCATGGGTCCTTACCCATGTCTATCCAAGATACCCAGGTCTAGCCAGGCTTGGGTAAGGCAATCAGAAGAGACACCTGCATTACCTAGAGGAGTAGTGCAGGGAAAACCTGGACATCCAGGAAAGAAAAAGCTGGAGGGATCAAGGGGTTCCGATGGGTATGGAGCTTGGTCTTCCTTGGTGGGGACGGGGGGTGGACAGCTGTGTTAGCCCATCACAGACTTCAGGGCGTAGCTCAGGGGTGAGGCTCAGGGGACTCACCACTAGTGCCATTCCCCCCTCTGCAATTCCCAGCCACACATCCTAGACAAGGCGGAAGGCATCTCCAAGGGAGTGTACCTATCCCATTGCTTTCCTTTCATCCATGAGACTGAGTCTTCTAGTCTACCAGGATGGATCCGGCCATTGCTCCCTTTCCGGGGCCGGGGGCGCGGGTTGAGGAAAGAGGAAGGAGGCACCAAGTACCACCGGTGCACTGGTGCTGCTGTTCCTTCTCCAGGGCTTCCAGCCGAATTGCTATGTTCCGGCTCCAGTCCTGCCTCAGTTCACCTTAGAAAACATCAAGGTTCCATTTCCAGTGGGATGACTGCGGAGCTTTCTTCCCCCTTCCTCTGCTCCTACCCCCACCCCTTTCTGGTTCATTTTATTTGGTTCATGGTTCAATTTAAAAATTAATGTTTGGATTCAGTTTTGGGTACAGCAGAGTTAGGTGGTTTGTTCCGGTTTCTGGTTCGTGAGTCAGTTCCAATCTGTTGTTCCGACATCATGTCACTGCTGTGAGCAGAGCCAGACACTGTTGCCTGAGAGGGCCCCAAGGAGGACTTGAAAAGAACTTCTCAGCAGCCATCTCGTGCTCAATCACCTCGCTCGGTGCTGCCTCATCCTGGGGCAAACCTAATCCCAAAACAGCCCGTGGACGAAGGACTCACACGGCCATGTTTCTGGTCCCACAGCAACACACACATGAATAATGACGATGGTGGGGACCAACCATGTTTGTAAAGAGCACTTGGTATCTGCCAGGCTCTGGGCTCTGCTATTTAAATGTATCGTCCCACTCCAAGAAGGAAGTCCTATCATTGACCTCCCAGGACAGATGAGGAAATTGACGCCCAGAGAGGCGAGCAGGACGCGAGGAGAAGTGGAGTTTTAGATATTGTTAGGGCTGTAGATCAGTATACGAGGTGAGCGGCTAAACTTGTTTCCATTCTCCCTGTGAGGAATTAGGGGCACGGAGAGATTCTGGAACTTGCCCTAGCTCACAGGTAGAGCAAGTGTCGATGTGAAGGCACGCTCTCTTCCCCCTTCCTTCCCCGTCGCGTGTTCTTTTGGAAAAGCAGAGCCACTTCAACTTTTGCTGAAGATGAATAAGATTTGAAATAAGTAGGGTGAGGCCTCACTTTGCCTTGATTAGAGTAGAAGCAAGTCCGGCGGAAATTAATCAAAAGTTTGAATTATAGGCTATGTGAAAAGAAACGCTGTTTTCATCACTTGCAAATACATATAATCACTGGAGCCAAGCTGCTCGGACTCTTCAGGGCACCTGCTTTAATGAGGACTCCCAAGCAATTTGCCCTCTGCTGTACTTTCAACTCCACTCCCCCGTAATCTTGCTCATGGCCCTCATCGGCTCAACAAGCCCTTCCACCGGAGATGCTGTACACGGCGATCAGACCTCCGACACAATTCTCACGAATTCCAGATTGGTGAGAGCTGAATAAGCAAGGACATACTGAATCTGGGGAAGGTGGAAAAAATAAACCGATAAATAAGAGACGTCACACCTGCTGGGGTTGGTTCTGGCTCATGTGTTCAAGCGAGGAGGCAGGAGGGCTTGTTGGCAAGCACTGACCACTCTCATCTCTGATCCTTCTGCAGGCCTGATTTTAGTCATTTACTTCTTCTTCTATGCCTCCCTGGCTGCTGTGGTCACTCTCTGCATGTACACGCTATTTCTGACCATCAGTCCTTACATGCCGACCTTCACTGAGAGGGTGAAGCCTCCTGGTGAGTGCCCAGATGCCCTGTGCTGTCAGAACTCTCTGGACAGAAATCTGCTTATATAGCATGTTCAGCCTCAATTAACTGGCTCTTCCCGGTAATGACTTGGGGATTCAATTATTAAGAGTAAAAGTAAAATGGTACTTGGCAAATTATGGTCCTTTTTATTTTGATTGCCTGGGCGGGGTGGTGGTGGTAATGGTTTCATGGGAATCAATACAAAAAAAGTATCCCAAGAACGGGTTAATATATCCAAGACCTGTTTTTGTTGCCAGGAGTTATGATTAGACCCTTCGCCCATAGCCTTAACTTCAACTTCAACGTTTCTGAACCTGACACTTGGCAGCATTATGTCATTAGCCTAAATGGATTTCTCCAGGGTAAGTAAGTTCCTCTGAATGGGGGAAATCTCTGTGGAAAAGCGGTGGGGTGGGGTGGGGTGGGGGGATTCAAAATTCACAATTCTCTGGAAGTCCCACTCTTACTAACCCCAGCCCATCCCGGTCTTTCCTTACCTCTCATCCCCCTCAGCACCCATATGCACAATCAAGACTGTTCTGGTTTGTGATTGTATGTTGTCTTGAAAGCATAGAAGACAAGTCTCCAGCAAGATGTTAAGTTCATTGGGGACAGAGAACTTGTTTTCTTTTCTTAAACATTCTAGGGCACCTAGTTATGTCCTGGGCACATCCAGATGGCTCAATAATGACCATTTATAAAAGATCATTTCAGGGGGTAGGTAGGGGTGAGAAAAGAAGAGTGTTCTCCAGAATGGGAAGAGTCCTGCCTCCTATACTTTCTCAAGGTAAGAGAATTCCTTTCTTGGAGATGGGCCATCTTGAAGGAAGAGGGCAAGGGTCTTGATTTAATTAGCATCCCAGCAGGGAGTTAGAGGAAGAATCTCTGGGTGACAGTCACGCCAACATTTTGATAGCAAATGTTTGCAAGACGCCCATCTCTATAGTGTCATCAGATACACTTCCAGGGACCGACGAGTGGCTTTTTGAGAAGCCCTTCCATGGACTGAAAACGGAGGTAGCACTTTGGTTAAGGTCTGACACAGAGCATGAAGGCTCTAAAGCCCCAGTGGGTTGCACAAATTATTTGCGGAAAAAAGCCAGTTTGATTGCTTTGGTTGTCCCTGCCTGGCTGAAATGGAGGAATAGAGAGCAGTAGAATATGCACTGAATGAGAAGAACAATGTTTTATGTGACTGGAAGTGTTACATAAATGCATAAATCTTCTCATTTAACTTTAACCCTCCATAGAAGCGACCGGCGGGGCACCTGCGTGGCTCAGTCTTCGGCCAAGTGTCCAACTCCTGATCTCTGGTCCGGTCTTGATCTTAGGATTGTGAGTTCAAGCCCCGTGTTGGGGCTACATAAAGAATCTACCATCTCCATTCTACAAATGGGGCAACTGAGGCTCAGAAAGGGGAAGTAATGTGATAAAAGTCTCCCAGCAGCCGAATCAGTGTTTAAACCCACATCCATGGTTGTGACACACTTGCCACTGGAAGTGTGATTCAGGACCCACAGCTTCAGCATCCCCTGGGAGTTTGTTAGAAGGGCGGGCTCTCAGGTCCCACCCCAGACCTGTTGAATCAGGATCAGCACTCGAACAAGATCCGCAGGTGATCTGTATAAACTTTAAAGCTTGAGAAATACTACTTCTCGTAATTCTTTGCTGCTGCCATATGACCTGGAGTTAGAATCTCAGCTTTGTATCAGTCATGCTCAGTGTCATTTTGGGGAAGTCTGAGTTTCAGATTCCTCATCTGTAAAATGACGGAGGCTGGGTCCTTTCTGGGTCCACGTAGTTTTTTGAGCTCAAAACAAACAAAACCCAAAACGTTTTGGGCATCAACGCCAGCACAGTATCTTCTCTTCTTTCAAACTGTTTGTGAGCTGTTGCAAGTGTGTTGTCAGACTCTGCTGAGGAAATCCCTCTGAAAAGCTAGTAGATAGAGAAATACCAATTCTGACCTGACGACAGAGATGGAGAACATTAGGGAAAGCATCGGGTTTTTAGTTCCTAAGTGTAGATAACATGCCCTATTTAAAAGGAACACATCTCTGAAATAGACATCTCAGAGTATCAATTTCATTCCCACGAGGACTGCGATTTTGCAATAAGGGTCATGCCCATGTCACATTATTTTTAATGGAACTACCTCAAGAGAAACAATGAGCACGTGATTAGAGCTTCTATTTAGAAACTTAACATTTGAACATAGTTCTTGTTCTAAAAAAAAAAAAAGATTAAAAAGAAACCTTGAATCGAATGTAGCTTTGTCAAAGGAAAAATAAAGGCTTAACGGTAATTGGAATAGATTTAAAATTTCCAGTTGCTCCTTAACAATACTAAACCCAAGTCACAACCTGTCCAGATTACAACCCAGCAGTACATTTGGAGTTTTACCACCAGCAGATCATAGGTGCACAGTCTCCTCTGAAAAACTGAGATACTGGGAACATGAGTGCATGGGGACTGGACCTAACAACACAAACTGGACTCCATCATTTAAAGCCAAACTGGAAATAATGCAGTCGTTTTCAAAGCCCAGTCCGTGGCATCTGGTAGTCCAAAGAGTGAGCTCACAGACAGCCCCTTTCAGCTCTCTCTCCTTGATATGTATGCCTTGGACTCATGCTCCATTCCATCCGATGTAAAGGGACACAAACCCTCAGTGCCTCGAGTCTTGGTAGACAAGATCTCACCCTCTCACTTTCTCGGGGGAGACCCTACAGCTTGTCACTGGTTTCTGTCTTTCAACCGAAGTTCTATTCTGTGGTGCTAACTTCTGTCCGTAAGGGATGAGAAGCTGGTTTATCTCCTTTTTCTCCCTCTCTTCCTCCTCTTCCTCCCTCCTGTCCCACAACACACACTTCTCATTTTCTTGTATCTGAAAAGAAATAATGGAAAATGGAAGCTATACAGTGACCAGCACATGACCCAGAGATAGATACTCCAAAGTTCGTAGGGAAGGAGACACCATCAAAGTGGGCCGAGGGAACGAGCCTTCCGGGAGAGATGCTGGTGGGGAACCTTGGGCACCGATGCCCAAGGGTCCTTGGGTACCGATGCCCAAGGGTCCTTGGGTCGCAGAGCCTAGGCCAGACTGAGTGGGCTCTCAGAGGAGCACCAGCAAGTTGCAGAAAGAATACTAGGGAGGAGGCCTCCTGAAAATGTGGCCCTCCCCGGTAGCACCTGTCTAACATGCCCCCCGTTTGCCGCCCCCACACATGCTTTAGGTTACAATGACAGTCTTCAAGAGGAAATGAATGTAGATTGTCCCCCGGGGCAGTACTTCATCCAAGATGGCGATGAGGAGGAAGACAAGAAGGCCTGCCAATTTAAGCGCTCCTTCTTGAAGAACTGCTCTGGCTTGGAAGACCCTACTTTTGGCTACTCTACTGGACAGCCTTGCATCCTTCTAAAGATGAACCGGGTATATTGGCCCTTGATACTCCCGTGACAATAAGTAGAGGAGCTGGGTAGGGGGGCTCCGGCCCCTCTGTTTCTCTTGGGCTCTGTCCCGGCACACTGCAAGTCTGGCCACTTGTACTGACAACGTCAGTAATACAAACAACTGGACAAACCTATCAAACAATAATCCCCTTTTCTCCCTGATTACTTCCTATTTCCACTCTTGTCTCCTGCCTCTAACCTGCCCTTTGATGCCTTCTGTCAGTAATGAGGTCCTGAGCTGTTTGGAACAGGGGACTGACATGATGGGGGAGGGACAATTCTTCTATCATAAGAGATACACTTTCCTCCTCTACTGCCATGCCTTAGGTGTGGTAGAGCCTTACCAGGCACATCGCTCTTAAAACTGGAAAGTTCTTTCCATCTTCAGGGTTCTCCTGCTGCAGTTACCTTTGTATGAGCATCAGGCACAAATACAAGGGGCAAGCTGAGCTGCACAACTCTGGAGATATTTTTGCATTTTTTGCCTTTTAAAAAAATTATTTTTTATTTGACAGAGAGAGTACAAGCAGGGGGAGCAGCAGTGGGAGAGGGAGAAGCAGGCTCCCCACTGAGCAGGGAGCCCGATGAGGGGCTCCATCCCAGGACCCTGAGATCATGACCTGAGCCAGAGGGAGAGGCTTAACCCACTGAGCCACCCAGGCACCCCTGGTTGTTGGCTTTTGTAACATTCCTGAGAGGGCTAATGGGTTGTTTATGCCTAAGGAAAGGGTGGTTTAAGGGGGGTTTAGAAAAGCCCCATTTTTACTGTTCAATCCATTTTGGTTTTTGATGTTTAAAAACAACAGCAACAACATTCTGGTTTTCTTTTGATAGATTGTAGGCTTTCGTCCTGAGCTTGGGGATCCTGTGAAGGTGTCCTGCAAAGTTCAGGTAAAGTGCCTTTTTGAATAAGTACTGCTAGCCCATCTGTTTTATGCAAAAAGATGGTTCATCCCTCCTAAGGTTTTCACCGTGGATGACTGGCTGTGGGTTAGGGAAAGGGCTAGGCTTTTCATAACTATGCCTCCCTTTGGTAGCTTCTGGCCTCCCTCTTGCCAGAAAGCATTCAATTCATGTGTGTTTGTGTGTGTCGTGCGGGTGTGTGGGTCTGCGCCGGTTTATACCTGCAAAAGCCGAAGAACGACCCGCTAAAGGCCACAGCAAGGACTGACAGTGCGCCCGTCATTAACTAGGATTTTGTTTACACTTTTGCTTTTAGCTCTAATTACTTGTTTCTTTGAACTAAACAAACAGCTTTTATTAGAGTCATTAGTCCCTGCTTTTCAAACAGAATTTCACTTTTTGCAGCAATGACCAGTGGCACTGAGTGTTGGGATAACAAATGACTAAAAGGGAAGTATAAACAGAAGTCCATTAATATGCTAATTAACTGTCCTTTGAGGGACCATTAACTCCTCTCTCATCGGCACCAATTAGCTCCTTTGTAGGAAGAAGCCCTAGGTCTTGGGTTTGCTTCTCCAACTGGAAGCAGTAGCTCCCTCCAGTTTCCCAGCATCTACTGCGCCCCCAGCCCCGGCCAGCCATCTGGCTCGCTCTTGTTTGTGAAGCCGGGTAATCCCATGCTCCGTGCTAGAAACACAGCTCCAAACTCCAGCCTCAATGGTGGTGGATCAGAAAGCCGCAAGAGGTAGCATTTACCCAGCACGCATTTATTGGTCACTTTCGCTCTACCGGGTACTTTGCTAGGTGCTGGGGGTGCCAAGATAACTATGGCTCTCTCTCTGAAGTCGGGGCTCCACGTATTCCAGCTGCTATGAAAGGGGCAATGGGGACACTGACGATGATGAGTGTTGAAAGGTCAGGCCACGGTTTGCCCCGCCAACAAGGTAGGAAGGACATTCATTCTGTTCACATGGACACGAGTCTGTGTAAATACACACACGCGCATGTGGCGTGACGACAAACTAGTGGCACTGATTCCCCAGACTACTCACAGACGCGAACTGCACGGCTTTCTAGAAGAATATGTAAGTAAATCATAAAGACCGACTCGGTCTTAAACTAGCATGTTAATTGGCTCGAGTCCTATTTACAGCTCCCTAGAGCCATTCGTCTTTCTGCTTGCACAGAACCTTGCTGAGAACTGTCCTTTAAAAAGAAAACAAGAAACAGTAAGAGTCATTATACATTCTATAATAATTGGTCAAAATCCACACCCACTTGTGAAAATCAAGCAGGACAAGGTAATCACGAGGATAAATTAAGGGGAGCTTAGAGTATACTCCGAACGATCACACTATGTTGACAGAAGGAATCACATGACCCCAGTGAGTGATTTGCTGGTAGTGAGCTCTGTTTGTCCCTCATTAGTCCCCAGATCTCTGCTAAACAGGGCAAGTCTAATGCATAGGCAGAATGGTCAGTCCCCTACCTGATGTGATATGATGAGGGTAGACTGACTTCTTTCATCTTTCCAGCACTGGTTCCCTCTTGCTTGTCCTCCTGAGTTCACCTTCCATAAGTAAGCACTACAGAGAAGATGGTCAGACACACGAGTGTTGGTGGGCCAAACTGTAGGCCGTGTCCCTGGGCAGCAGATCCCAGCGCGCCTGGTTTCCCTTCCACGGAACTGAGCCCCCAGTGTGCAAGGTGTCATGGCGTGGGATCTACTCAGCATGTTCTAACTTCTGCCTGCCTCAGCGTCCAAGACTGGCTGCCAGGCCCACGATTTTTTTTTTTTTTTTTTCGAGAGGGGCTGGCATGATAGACCCTCTTGCTAGAGCAGCACCAACTACTGGCCGCCCCCCAGAACCCTTCTATCTGGGTCTCCTAGGAGCCAGTACGGAACTATATTGAGCACGTTCGGTCTCCTCAGTCCAGGCTTTCCATTCCGTATTCTTTGAATTGAAATCCGAGGCACAGTCTCTCCCTGGAAATGTTCTGGCGATAGGTGTGGGGTAAGCTATGCCCCATTCTGCTTTCATGGGTCATCCTGGGACAGTTGGTTCTGGGTCACATCATGATTTCACCAGGGACACGCGCCCCTCGAGCTCAGGCTTCAGTTCCCTGGGGGACCCAGCATCCCACATATACCTGCTTTTACTTCCAGAGAGGCGATGAAAATGACATCCGATCCATCAATTACTACCCAGAGTCGGCTTCTTTTGACCTTCGCTACTACCCTTACTATGGCAAACTGACTCACGTAAGCCTGTATCCTTTTCAGTCTTTGCTGTCAGAAAGGGCTCAGAGACAGAGGCAGGGCTGCCCAGAATCTCTGAGAATTAGGGAGCAGCATGTAGTAACAGTGGGGTGAATAGTGGCTGGCCAAGACCAGGAGCTCCCTCTCCCAATTCCTACTACAACCGCTCCTTTCTGTATCTGAAGGTATTTCACATATGGTCTGGTCTGACTCCTTCAGCTTACAGATGGAGAAATTCAAGTTCAGAGAGAGAAAGTGACTTGCCCAACACACAGAGCTAATTAGTGGCAGAGCCAGGAGCAGACAAATCCCTGTCACTGCACTCCACGACACCCAAATGATCAAACCCGCCTGTTTGTCCCAGGTGAAGCCTTGGGGCAGGGGTGGTGGGTCACAGGGCCAGGCTTCACCTTTAGCAGAGACATTTCAAAGACGCTACATTCGTGGTCTGATAACTCAGAAAATCCTATCACACAGAGTTAGACCTGGTTTTCCCCAGAGGACAGTCAGTCATCTGACAGGGACTTAGGGGAGAAAGGTGTCATTTCCCCCACGGAACCAGGGCAGAGAGAGAGCGTGTCAGTTGCTTTAGCCATTCGTGACTTGGCATTATGGGATTTGCTCAGTTCACTGGTGAGGGTTACCCCATTCTGCTCTGAGTATCTGCTCCCTTGCATCCTGTTACCCACCCCCACGGCCTCCGCCCCTCCCATTTAGGAGTCATTGTTCTTCTGCCTGCAGGTTAACTACACCTCCCCGCTGGTGGCAATGCACTTCACAGATGTGGTGAAGAACCAAGCGGTGCCTGTCCAGTGCCAGCTGAAGGGCAAGGGCATCATAAATGATGTCATCAATGATCGTTTTGTGGGTAGGGTGATCTTTACTCTGAACATAGAAACCTAAGAACTTTGCGGGGCACTCCCACTAGTTCTGTTTCTGTTTTATTTCATGTAACCCCTGGTAGGACCTGAATTCTTTTTCTTCGCTCAGGACACAGCCAGATGGACGCCTAATACAGCAGATCATCTTTCCTTGCCTTTGACATATGTATAAAATGACATTGTGGGATTGATTTTTTAAAGGTAGTCTCTCCTGATAACAAATAGGTGATTTTAATTTCCTTTCCCCCTACTTAAAACTAAAACCCATTCGTGCTGCTAGAGGTCTCACCATAGTGTAAACGTAGTATCTGATAAAATTCACAAGAGCCATGAAGGAGAATTTCTATAACGATTTTAAATTCATTGTGTTTTGTAAAATTTTGTTGTTTTTAGAGGTGAGATTCCTCCCAACCAGGCTGATAAGCTTTTTTTTGTTTCTGGTTGTGGTTGTTGTTGTTGTTGTTGTTTTTAAATTTTTTCTTAACCTACCTGGCAAGTTCCTTCCCTGGGAATCACCAATCAGACCAACTCAGAATACACCTAGGGCTATCATACCTAGAGAACTCTATATCCAAGGGTGCTTGAGGAACTGGCTGTCTCATATGGGCAACTAAATAATACTGATTTGAAGACTAGGTTATCTTCAACTGGGACACAAAGCAGTGCTAACTGGATATCGTTCTGGAATACAAATGAACACCTTTCCTATGACTTTTGGGGGGAGGTGAGGTCCATAGCAACTGGGGCGAATACTTACCATGTGGATGTGATTGGCATTTGATTCCTTGCTCTGTGGTGTGATCATCCAAAGGCAAACATTCCTGCACACAGGTTTGTCTCCGCTGCAGGCAAAGGAGAAAACGAGGAAGATCTCCACCCGCTAATTATTCTTGGGCCCTATGCCTGGCAGTGATATAAGGTCCTTTGAGACCATCCGGGAGGGGCATTGGTGAGCCCCAGCTACAGCTCTAGGGATTGAAATCACGGTCTGCCAACTGATACACAGTAAGACAGAAAGCTCCCACCGGGCTTACCCCAAACCCAAGGCCCATTTCTGGTGCTTCGTGTGCCCAGAAAACGATGCGGGGCAGGTGTTCATCCAGGTTGTAGGTCAGCCAGGCTGCTTTGTCTTCTCCGGCCACTCGACCGTTCCACAGGTTCTTAACACCTCCACCAGGGGGAGGGCTGGCACAAGGAGAAAAAGTGAGCATTAGCCAATTGCATGGTGTCTCGGGGTCCAAAGAACGCTTCGGTGCCACCTAGAAAAGCGTCCAGAGTCTGAATCTCCTCCCAAAACGGGGAACTGGCAATCTGGTAGTGAAGACAAACAAGCAAAGAAGTAACTCTGAACGAGTGTGACGAGTTCGACGACTAGTATGTGGAAATGCTATGGGAACCTGAGGAAAAGTACCTAACTTGAGCTGAGAAAGTAGCAGAGGAAATTTCACATGCGAAGTTATAATCACGAAAGACCACCGTGTGTTTGGGTAACTGGGAGCAGTTCGTGTGACTGGAGAGTAAGGGGCTCAGAGGAATGGCCGGGAGTGGCAGGGGATTGGGCTAGAGGGGTATACAGGTACTGAAAGAGGACTTCGAGTTTAATCCAGTAGGTGAAAAGGAGTCCTTCAAGTATTTTAAGCAGGGAAGCTCTGTGATCATATTTGCACTTTGGAAAGAGCACTTTGGCAGCCAGAGTGACGGGGGGTGGGTGTTGGAGAGGGCAAGACTGGGGAATGGGCACTGAGGGAGAAGGAGGAGTCAGGAATGCCTCCGAGGTTTTGAACTTGGCTAGAACCAGTGCGATGGTGACATTGTTGATCGAGATTGAGAATCCAAGAGAGAAGCAAGATTGGAGAGCAAGATGTTCTCAACTTAAAGCTTGTGATTCCTATTGGTCAGACACCGATGTGGAGATGTCAACACAAGTGGGGTTGGGGAGAAGGAAATCTGAGAACAAAAACAGCATTTGCTTTAAGTGAATGCTCTTAAGAAATTCTAAGCTATTTAATTTCGGGAACTTGAGCCGTTATGTAAACACGCCCCCCGGATCTAGTCTCTCAGATAGTGTTTTTCTCTTTAACTTGTGGCAGAAAGCTCTGCCGCTGCTCTTTGGAATCTCCTTCCCGTTTCCCAACTCTCGTCAACAGAGTAGAGGGGAGCCGACCTCTATTAACAAGATAAAAGATACTCAACAGCATATCTGTGGAAAATACAAAAAGACAATGAAACTGTCTCCTCCCAACCCTTCCTTACCAAATTCCATTTCCAAAACTAATCTTTCAAAAGAAAGAGCAAAATACCTGAAGACGGTAACTTTAAAACCATTTCAAGATTTCCTCAAACAATCAAGCTCTCAAAATTCAGTAGGAAAAGATAATAGAACATTAGATCTGGAAAGGATACTAGAGTGTTTAGAGAAAACCTGCATTGCATCTGACTCCAGGTCCAGTGCTCTTTCTACTCTGAGCTGCTGCTTACCAGGAAGTACCATCTTTTTAAAAATCAATGGATGATACCCCCAACATTTTGAAACATATGTCAAATTTGAGTTAGAATAGTTAACATTTCACAGGAACTCAACTACTGGTGCTATATATACGTAAGACATTATCCTGTTAAATACGTTGACTATTACACAGACAAGGAATTATGAATCTTTTGTCCTACAGTATTTCTCATTCAGTGGAATCCATTGTATCCACAGTTTCCGAGCAGTATTGAATAGTACTAGGATGGTTTGGGTTGTCAGATGGGACATGTAAGAATAACTTTATCACACAGAACTGGAAATTATCACTAAACTGGGATTCTAACAGTTCAATAAACTTCCGGTGGATTAGTCTAAATCTTCCCCCATACCATTTCATACGGGGATTTGATTTGTATACCATCTGTTGCAATGCACTTGGTTTTACTTGATTGTCGATGAGAATTACTACTTCCAAATGCCTTTGTGGTTTTGTCCATGCTAGAGTTATGATTTCTCACCCCTCTGAAATCATTACCCTAAAGTAACTTTTCTTAGGCATCTATTTGCTGAGAATCTTCATGTAGAAAACATTATTATTGTATTGAGGAATTGTTGACAATAATAAATTGAAATAAAAAAGAGGTGTATGGTTTCCTCTTTCTAGACGGTATCACTGATTTTCCCACAGGAATCCTGGGCAGCCATGTGGGTGGACAACTTGACAATTGACAGCCTATTAGTTTAAAACTTTTTTCTTCTTCTTCCTCCCACTTTTTTTTTTTTTTTTTTGTGACTCTTGGGGTTTAACCACAGGAGGATGAAACTAAAAGTTTTTTCATTTCTGAGCATCTTTCCTTTTTGGTCTCTATGCTCTGGTTTCTCGGAAGACTGCTTTGTCAGAGCAAACTTCCTTTCTTCATCGAGTCCTGATATAAATTGTTCCATTTGTTTGTGTAGGAAAAGAACACCAAAAGAAACTCTGCAGTGGGGGAAAGGAACAAAAATCCAAAGAGAAGCTGCAGTTACTTGATGAAAGCCTAGCTAAGTGACTTTAGGGCACATCTGGTCACAAATGGTCTCCCAGAGCAAATCTCTAATGGTAATTGCAATTAAAGACAGAAATATTTCCACTCCCTTGTTTGGCTCAGAGACTAAGCTGCTGTAGGAATCCCTTCTTTCTTTGGAAGCTGCCCTGGCCCATGGTCGACAAGGCTTATATAGTTTGATTGGGGAGTGAAGTTTTTGATCCCAGTACATTACCCCTATCTAAGTTCTATGTTAGAGTCATTTTCCTTACTGATTTCCTCTTAAAATACTCAAGCATGATAAAATAATTTAGCCAAGTCATGCAGAGTGTGATTTACACTGTGATTTTATATAGGCAGAAAACAGAGGTTTGGATGTGTGTGGTGGCAGGAAGAAAGGAGAGGATGGATGGAGGCAAAGAGCGAGGAAAAGGGAGTTGAAAGGCTAAATAGCCCTGCTTACTTCGCAAAGCGCTTTAGTTGCAGGCTAGAAGGCAAGAAAAGCTGATAGGAAGATGTAAAAAGCTTGAGAAGGATGTGATAGGCTCTCAGTCTGGCAGCTTAGTCTCCAGGATGTACTTCTGTGCAGGATCCTACATGGCCATAACATCAATCAGGGTTCCAACAATAAATAGCACACCTGACAAAATGGGATAATTGGAAGGGGGGTTATTTCCAAAGAGATAACTTATAAATGTGTAGATGCAGGGAACCACAGAAAATAGCACAATAACCCAGGCTAGTATAAGCTAAACTCTTAACTTCCCTAGAGCTCAAGGGACAGGCATAGGAAGTGGCTTCCCCAACCCAGAAGGGCTGAGTCATGTACAACTGACTGCCTTGAGAAGAGTGGTGACCTTACTGAAGGTCTAACCTCGCCCAAGGTGATTGTGTGGGGAGGTAATCCCACACCTATTTATGGTGATAGTTGAACTTTTAAACTAAAATCTTTTCAAAATTTTAACATTAAGATCTCTAAAGAACAGTCCTTTTGCTCTATCCTAGAGTTTTGTTGACATCTTTCACTTGAAAGAGAGGGAGGGTGAAGAAAGAAAGAACCCACCTTGATTTTATTCTGCTTTATCTTTACCAAAAAACATGCTATAATTCAACTCTGTATTAAATGTCTGGCTTGCATAAGACATTTTCTTTCCAGAACAGAACGATACAACCTTCATAGTACAGTTAACTTGAGTCAGAAAAGTATTTGTCTTCCATTAAGGACAAACATATTCATAAATGAGGGGCATCTGGGTGGCTCAGTGGGTTAGTCTCTGCCTTCGGCTCAGGTCATGATCCCAGGCTCCTGGGATCAAGCCCCACGTCGGCTCTCTGCTCAGCAGGGAGCCTGCTTCCTCCTCTCTCTCTGCCTGCCTCTCTGCCTA